CACAGCAGCATACATAGCCCCAATAATCATGGAAAGATCAGCTGTGCTTTCTCTGAATATGGAACAAAGACAAATAGCTCAGTAATTGGTGTATGTAAACTCTCGAAGGCATTTTTCTGCAGCAAAAAGAGCCTCCCTACTTGAAGTTATGAACTAGTTAAGTGGGAGATAAGCGCATACCTTTTAGTGCCAACCTTCCAGAAAATAGTTCCAAGCAGAAGTGCAGCTACCAAGGTAAAAAAGAATCTAACAAGGTTATAATCAGGACTTCGCCAATAAGTCCACCACTGCTTCCAGAGGCAAGACTTGAACTGCTTCCATGATGACTGAGAATACTGAGTCGTAAAATAGAGGTCTTTTGCTCCTGCTGGTGGTGTGCTCAACTCCTTTACTAAAGCTTTGTTTCTCCTGGTCATAGAGAAGAATTTATATTTCGGAAAAGTCAGCCAAATTCTGGACCCTACAAACTATTAGTATTTCTAAACTTTTTGGTTTGTTTTTTACTTACTGGTGCAAGGAAGATGATTTGTAGTGTTGAGCAAAGTCCATTCTAAGCCGAAGCTCAGTTGATACCGAGCTCGCCTCTAGCATCCATGTGGCTGGATTATACTTCTCTTTGATTTTTGTCACACCAGGAACTGCCTGGAATAGATCAAGAAGTATGGACTTAGATAATACTGCATTTGTTTATTTGTTTGTGCAACATTAAGAAAATGAAAAAGTTTCGGAAGGCAAAATACCTCAAAATATTCGACAATCTTGTGAGAATTGCGGCCCAAGGGTCCCGAGTAGATAACTTGTCCTCCTCTCTTCATCAGTAGCAGCTCATCAAAGGCCTCAAAGATATCAATGCTAGGCTGATGAATTGTGCAGACAACTGTTCTCCCTGTGTCCACAGTGTTTCTAACAGTCCTCATAACAATGGCAGCTGCCCTTGCATCAAGACCTGATGTTGGCTCATCCATGAAAATGATTGAGGGATTAGCAACAAGCTCAACTGCAATTGTTAACCTCTTTCTTTGTTCAGTTGACAACCCTGAAATTCCTGGAAGCCCCACTAAAGCATCTTTGAGACCGTCTAGCTCGACTAATTCCATCACTTGATCTACAAAAATCTGCAATTATCATAAAACAAAGAGCATGCAGTTTCAGAATTTAAATAATCACGCTATGGATTGTTC